GCACTCACTCACCACCTACTGCAAGCAGGATGAAAACCCAAGTGGTCCTTGAGGAATGGCTGCGTGCCAGACTGTCCCCTGCTCTGCCAAAACTCTGGTGTGTTATCAACACTGGTTTAGTCATGAATCCAAAACACGACACCATATGTTCTGCTGCGAAGAAAAATAACTATATCCCAACCAGACCCAGCACACATGCTCACCCCTCAATTCAGGCTAAAGAAAACCTCCATGGAAGTGCTTTTTTGGAAGAAGTAATTAACTTGTCTGTGATGCATACCTGTTGAAGAAAGGAAGAGATCTGGGATATGTATGAAGACATGCTGAGAAAGTTGGGGCTGTTCAGCCTGCAGAAGAGAAGCTGCTTGGAGACCTCAGAGTATCTCAAGGGGGCTTGTAAGGGCACTGAAAAGGGGGGCCTCTTCATCAGGGACTGTAGCAATAGGACAAGGGGAAATGGGTTTAAACTAAAATGGGGGAAGTTCAGATTAGATATGAGGAAGAAGTTCTTTACTGTGAACGCGGTGAGGCACTGGAATGGGTTGCCCAGAGAAGCTGTGGCTGCCCCATCCCTGGCAGTGTTCAAGGCCAGGTTAGACAGAGCCTTGGGTGACATGGTCTAGCGTGAAGCATCCCTGCCCATGGCAGAGGGTTGGAACTGGATGATCTTAAGTTCCTTTCCAACCCAAACCATTATGTAATTCAGTGTGTCAAATATGGAAATTTCTGTGAAACACCTATTTGATGATTCCTAAGAATGCATGACCTCAGTTTGCTGGTGTAGAATTTTAATTGTTATCTAGTTCCTTATTTGCATAATGTGTCTGTGTCTCAGATTTTCATGGTCTTCTCTGGTCATAATTGATCTGTGCTAGTTCACCTGTTTTCTCTAGCACCTCACTGCTCATAGCCTCTTCTGCTTCCACATAAGTATCAGACTTTCTAAATCTCTATACTTAAGGTACAATGGAAATGAGCAATTTATTTTCTTCATACTCCTTTAGTCATGGAACACATCACAAAGATCTGTCTCCCTGTATTTTGATAGTCTCTTGTGAGACTTTAAAATGGTATAAATAAACCAATTCTTCATCTAGCATGTTAGCGTACTGGAAGAATTTTAGATTGGAAAACATTTTTTTCTTTCAGTGGCCTTGCTATTTACACTTAGTCATATGATTTGTTAGATATTTCAGACTGTAGATTTATGTGCTGTCAAGTGAAGGTATTATTGATCTAATCCCAGGAAACTGAAGTCTACCTAAATATAAATCTGAATTACTATGTTACAGTCCTTTGGAATAATACTTTTGCTTAATGAAAGTATGCACGATTTTGTTAATAGTTCAGCTATTTCCCTGCTAAATGCCTTCCATTAGCTCATGAAGGATGTTCTGTTTTATTTAGAAGAATGAGCATTGCATTCATTAGGCAAACTTCATTAAATTTGGAGCTCAATCAACTAGAACTATAATTATATAAAGAGGAAAGTTCCTAATCTGACATTTGTAAAACTGAGCCCTTTTGGAATCAGTTATTATCTTATTCAGCGTGACCAACTGAGCCTTTGTATTGAACAGAGGCAGAGCCTGGGAGGAGTGCCTTCTGCTAGAAGTGTTATTTTCTGTTATAATTTAATTGTTTTATACCCTTTTTCACCCCAATGAGACTTCTGCTCTTTCTGTATTCAGAGCAATAATAGATCAGACTGGTTGAGGTGGTAGTAAGCAGTGAATATTATTGCCTCATTGTTCAGAATTACTTCATGACTTATAAATGACACTTTCTGCAGTTTAAGTCCAGGAAGACTTTCCTCTTCTCTTTTAAGGCAAAATTGGTGAATCTTAGTATGTTTATGAAAGGGAAAACCCCATACTCTGTTATGAATGGAAAATGATTTCTCTGTGACTTTAGTCTGAATGGTTTGTATCAACATCAGGAGGGGGAAGTACAGCTGCCTATCCCTTGTAGCCTGTTTTCCCTGTAACATCACATGTGACTCTAACGCAGGCCAGTGGTGACTGAACACTTGCTGTTTCTTCCTGCTTTAGCTTTTGCTATCAGTGCAGTACATTTTTAAGATGGAGCGAGACAGCAATGACAACATTGCTGCCTGTTCTGGTTAAATCGTGGATCTCAGCAGATACAGATGGATTTCATCGAAGCCATTATACAGAAACAAGAATGACATCCTCTCTACATTGTCCTCCAAGAGAGAAGCTGAGGGCAACTCATTAATTTTACTCTCTAACCCAAGCTTGTGTAGCCTCCAAATGGCTGTAAACTATGCCTATCTTGTAACATAGGCCAGCCAAGGTGTTAACATGCATTGACTACTGTTGCCTTATGTCCTCTGTTGTTGTAGGTGCAAGACTTCTGGGTATGAACTGTGCATTTTGGATTCTTCTCTCTCAGTGTCCAGATGAGGGAATTAGCTTGCTTTGTGCTGCCTGATTGACACTAAGGAAGAAGATTGGGTAGACAGTCTGTTGCAGAATGCTGGCTTGTCATCTCTTGGCCCTTTGGAAATGTGTTCAACCAAAAAGGTTTAAAACCCAAAGATTGTTCTGAGTCTTCCTCAAGGAAGATGAGCTGGTGTGCAGTTAAAAAGAAAAAACAAACCAAATTTGTTTGAAATAGCCTACTTATGAATAAGAAATAAGAAAAAATAATAATTTATTATAGGTTATGATATAAAGGTGATCCTTAGGGGACTGTGGTAAGAAATAGTTGAGCTCTTGCATGGTGTCTAGAAACTAAAACCATACTGATCTGCATTTCAGAAACAGGCACCCATCACTGCTCGCATAAGAAGTGTGTGTGAGTAGAAGAGGCTTTGTTCACACACACGTTTTGTTGGATGTTTGTGGGTCTAGGAAAGATGGACATAAAAGATGAGAGAGAGGGGCAAAAAGGCATCATCCGGGAGAGCTTAAAAAAAATACTGAAGTGTACCCCAAACAGAATCTTAGAATATGTGTCTATGCCTTTAATTGACTCATAGGGGCAAAAAATGCTGAGCAAGTCTGTTTTGCTCTACTGGACTGAAGGGGCAATGACACACCAGTCCATGCCATGCAGTATATTCTCTACACCCCATGCTAGATGTGAAATACGTGTTTATAGCACATCTGATGCGTTATAACTGTGTTTAAGTCAAAAGGTTTTTATTGTTTTGAAACTATTACAAGAGGAACTTTCAGGATTATCCCTATTTTTCAAACACCTTGTGTATTTGGAAATTACTCATATCAGTGTGACTTAAATAAAGGAACAGAAATTCCTTTGAGTGCCATAGCAGTGTAACACGCTCCAGCTCCAGGTCAAAAATGCTTTGTTGGCTAATACTGAGGTTAGTCATTGTGTCACGGTCTGATTTGTGTATTTAAAGTGATTAATTAGATAACTGTCACGTGAATACTTATGAAAAGTTGCAGAGTTAAATGCGTGCTGTAGCTCTGCTCAAAGCAACCTCCACGTCAGCACAAGCAGTGGAATTTTGTCATTTGGCTGAAGGCATTCAACCTTACGGTACTTACCCCACCACACTGAATTCATTTCCTGAGAGTTGTAGGTATGCCTGGTGGCCAGTCTGTGGAAGAATGTGTGTTTAATCTTGTGAAAGGTAGTGTATCCTGTTCTAGACTTGAATATTGTTAAACACTAGGACTTTAGGCTTTCCATTTCTAGTTTAATTTAAAACATATGCATCACTGTTTCTGAAGGAATTAGTTGATGAATGCTTTGTTATAGAGGCTGCTTAATTTTTACTATTCAGGGAAAGAAATCCCTGAAAATGAAGTTTAAGCTTGCAAGTGTCAGGTGTGTGAAAAGAAATACAGTGGGGGTGATGGCTTCAGGTATTGTTATGCTTGAGGAGAAAAAAATACCTCTAAACATGTAAAAACCAGAAATGAAAGAATAGAAACAACAAGCAGGAACACTGCACTACAGAGATTTCACTATGGATGAAAAGCACATTAAAAAAAAAAATTGGCTTAACTTGCTAGGAGACTACTGTCATTAAATTGCTAATCATGAAGTTATTGTACTGTTTTATGGAATATTGCTATGAACAGTAAAATTTGGTTACTTTTAGTGCATAGGGAGTTTCATACACACCATGAAAATAAATGCAAAAATTGTATTTTTTGCTTTCCTCTAGAAACAAAGACCTCTGCCTACTAAAGGCAACAGCTTAGGTTGAGATGGACTAAGGAGGTCAAGGCCAAAACGGGCAGCAGCTCACCACCTCCTCATCTTGTCTCCTTTGCACACACTGATGAGTCACTCATCAATCGCCTGGAAATTGCTGCTGTTTCAAGTGAACAGTATTTTAGAGTAAAGCACCATTGATTTTTATTTGGCTTTAAATGCTACACTTTAAATGGTGGCAGCTGAGGAATCCATCAGCATCTCATAGCGTGGGTCCTTTGCAGGCAATGATGCGAACATTTTGGAGCTTTGGCTTTATCGGTCAAGCCAGCTCTGGGTGTCAGTGCTCATCAGCCCGTGCTTTAGTGACTAGGTAGCTTCTATAATTACTGTTACAGTAGTCAGTGTTGGGAAGTGCAAGGCATTACTGCAAGTACTGGTTGCTTTATCTTGTGTATGCTTGCGTTGTTTTTTTTTTTACTACACTTCTGTCCTAGAATTCCTGATAACTTTTTGGAGCTGGAGGTCTTTCTGTCCTTTTTTTGTGTCAAAATAGTTGCTTATGGTCAGGTTAGGAAAGCAGATGAGAAGGTTTGGGGTTTTTTTTCTGTCTTTAGTTGTCTTGCTGTCCCCAGAAGCCAAACTGTTCCGGAGGACTGATGTTTTGAAAGAGAAGTGTTATCCTCCTATGTAGCTGCTAATTCTTTGTTCTGATTATTCTTTGTGCTGTCATCTTTGTTGTAACTTTGCTTTACTACCACTTGGGTTATTTTCTCATGCTTGTGAAGTTTAAGAAAAGTAATAAAATAATCACTTGTAATAGAAATCCTTCTTTTTGTGTGCAGGAAACTCACAAATGGGTGCTACCATAGTAGATGCATTGGATACTCTTTATATCATGGGGCTTCACGATGAATTCAGAGAAGGACAAGAGTGGATTGACAAAAACCTTGATTTCAGTGTGGTAAGTAGAGCTGTCCTTAATACTTCCCTGGTCTTTTTCATGGTGTTCCACTTCAAGAGGAGACAGAAGAGGTCTTTCAGCAGGAACTTAAAAAACTTGGGATTCAAAGTATGATGCTTTAGGGAAGTTCTCTGTTCGCAACATCCCAACCCTTTCACGCTTTAAATTATAAGCAAAGGTATAGCTATATATTGTATTTCCAAAGGCCAACTTATAATTGGAAAGTGGAAGGGAGGGGAAGTGGTCAGTGAGAACCAACAAGGTGTCGCAAATGAAGGCAGAAATGAGGCTTTACTAAGTTATAGTAGTTGCAAGTAACTGAACTCTAAAAGACAATTTCCTCCCAAACCATAGTGTATGAATTACCTAACAGTAAAATCTCTTCTTTTTTTCATGTCCTTAAGATGTTTTAATATGAAGAATGCCATCTGGATCATCATAGTTTGCCTGTTCTGAGTCTATAAAAAAAATTCCCAGTTATCATACAGCAATTTTTTGTGTGAGGAGTTGAGAAGTGTTAAAATGGAAGAAATGGCTCTATTTTATCCTTCTCAGTTAGTGTTCCTATTACTGATTCAGGGACTGTCACCTGATTGTGGTACAATTTGTATTTCAATTCTTGGACTTTTCCTGGACAATTACTGGACATTCCAGCAATGCACAAAATGAAATGTAGGGCTACAGTCAGAATTGAGCAGATGCTTCCTGTTGGGTTTATGCTGTATCTTATGCTTCAGAAATTATTTGTTTGGGTGTTTTCTTTTTGTTTTATGCATTGACTATCTGGCAAACATTAAATTCTACTCTGCTTTTTGCAGTTAATGCCAGATAATTATTTAGTCTAAAAATGAAGATCCTATGTGTCAGAGAGCATAGATGTAATGGCACTGTTATGAGGGTAAACTAAATTGCTTCTATAACTTTTGATCTAAGGTTGTATCAATATAAATTGCAGAAATTCCTATAAAATCATAGACTCCCAAACTGGTTTGGGTCGGAACAGACCTTTAAAGACCATCTAGTTCCAAACACCTACCATAGGCAGGGACACCCTCCACTAGACCAGGAAGGCTGTCCCCAAAGCAGGTTTAGAATCAGACTGTATGTTCCAAGAATCTAAAGTTCAATGATAGCTTCCTATGTATCAGAGAACACTTCTGAAGGTTAATGACCTGTATACATCAGATTTGAGTAATTTCCTTACATGGCTTGGAGTTTATAAATAAATATATAAATTTGTTGCTCTTGGATTCTTTTGCTAGGAAATATAAATCATTTTTCACTCTACACTGTACTGTTGCTTCTGTGATTCATGACCTTCATAGGTATTAAATGGAATAATATGCTGCACTGTTGATACTTTTCGTGTGTCACCTACATGTGAATAAAACTATCTTTTTACTCAAAACCTGTATTTGGGAGTATTTCAAACTTCAGACTTCTAATCAATGCTATTTGAGGAAGCTTTTAGAGTATTCATAGAATCTTTCTGAAATACGTAATATGTTCAAAGCACATTAATTTTGAATACAGGTAAAATGCACAATACAACTTCAGGTGCCATAGGAATAGTGTGAAAGATATACCCATAAATTTGAACTGTGTGCTAACACATGGGTCAACTTGTACAGTGTACATTGTAGTGACTTTTCTGAATGAAAGGAGAAGTCTCCCTTATCTCAAAATCTTCTAAGATAACTGCATTTCTGTGTTTAATGGCTTGAATTAGAAGTTTATGAAGGAGGCAGATAGGGTGTATAAAGACAAAGGGGTGAATGGGGTGCAGAGGGAGGCAGAAAGATGTAAGAACAGACTAGTTCCTCTTAAATTTTCAGTGGTTTAAATGAGTCACAAGATACTGGTGAATTTAGCCCAATGATATTAATATGGAGGAAGTCAGTAAAATGGTTTATTCTCTTGAGTTTCTCGGTGGTGTTGCAGTACTGTGTGTCATATCATTAAATACGTAAATGCTATTCTTAGACAGAGGCTATGTTAAAATAGAGCTCTGAATTTAAGAATGTATGTTTGTAATTCCGGTTAAGAAAGTGCATTACAGGAATTACCTAATTATTATTTAGCTTTATCCTGTAAACCCAGAAGATTTGGTGTTAGAGAATCATAGAAAAGTTTGGGTTGGAAGGTACCTTCAAAGCTCATCTAGCCCAAACCTACTGCAATGAGGAGGGCCATCTTCAGCTACGTCAGGTCAGAACCACATCCAGCCTGGCCTTGAACATCTCTAGGGATGGCAGTGGTATGCTTAAATGTAAGAGAAAAGATGCTGTATTATGGAAATATGTGGGTCTTTTCTTCCTTCCCACTATTCCCAAACAACTTTAATTGCACTTTGTGGTGATGATAAGGTTAGAGAGCAGGAGAAAAACTAGTCTGATTTTTAAAAATCAGTTAAAATTATAACTAGAATTACCATTTGGTGGTGTGAAGGTGTGCATGGGAAGTTCAGTATGAATCTAGATACTGAAACTATCCAAACAAAGCCTCTGCTTTGACAGTTATTTTCCCATTGCTGATTAGGGAGTTGGTTAAATGTTGGCTGTTCCTTTCTGTTCTAGAATTCTGAAGTATCTGTTTTTGAGGTCAATATTCGCTTCATTGGTGGTCTTCTAGCAGCATACTACCTTTCAGGACAAGAGGTAAGAAGACTTGAATGTATCTGTCAAATTTAATGTATTCTAGCAAATGTTGCATAGAAAGAATTTTTTAGACTCTTGGCTTCTCAGTAGTTTGCAAACTAATTTTACAGCAGTAAGTTGTCTAAAGTAACCAAATTCTTAGAGTATGGGAACTCTAAAGCTCGTTTCTGTGCTGGTCTTGGCCAGTTTAGGACCATTTTATTAGAGCTTTGAAATGTTTCTTTTATCAAGATGTTTTCAAAAGATATATCCACTCAAGTAAACCTGAAATGTCAAGTCGCTAGCTTTTTATGCCAATAACTTGGTTTGATATTCTGTAATTCCAGGAAGGTAGAAATAACAGTTTTGTCACTTGTCCTGCAAGGCTGTAGGTTTACTTCACAAAAGAGCTGCACAATCTTACCATTTTCTCAGGGACAAACTGAGAAACATCAAGCCAATTTTATCCCACTTTTGAAACTTCTATTAAAAAAGATTGGATAATTCTACTTCTGAGCACTTATTCAAAGACATGCTTAGATTGGAAGGCTGCCTATACCCAAAGCCCTGAAACTACGGACTTCTTTGGTCCATCAATAACATTGCTGATGAATGTTACTTCACATACTTTAACAAGGCTGGAGCTCGATCCATGCTATAGATTAAGTCATAGGTTTTTTGATGTCTTTTGATATATTACCTGTGTCTTTGATTTGTTTGGGTTTACCTTTTATTTTTCATGGCCCTTCTAAAGCCTAAAATGTCAGGCTTCCAGACATACTTCATGACTGAAGGTTTAATGCACTTTCAGGTGTTTGTATCATGGAATCATAGTGGTTTATGTTGGAAGGGATGTAAAATATCCTCTAGTTCCAATCCCCTGCCGTGGACACGGACACCTTCCACTAGACCATTTTGCTCCAAGCCCCATCCAACCTGGCCTTGACCACTGCTAGGCATGGGGCAGCCACAGCTTCTCTGGGCACCCTGTGCCAGCGCCTCACCACCCTCACAGTAAGAGTATGTGTCTTTGCTCTTTTTTAGGGGAGCACCTTATACGTATCAGCAAATTCCAGGGATTTTAAGCCCACAGCTCTAAAAATAACGGGGAGAAAACCCCATATATGTTGGCTCTTTATATCGTTGGCATCATTCTGGGATCTGTGAATTTTCTGTCATAGGAGTGTTTTCCTTTTCCATTCAGTTGTCTAACTGCTTGGTAGAGTCAGACATGCTCCTTTACTTAAAGAATTTTCATCAACACATTTCTTTCTTTCCTTCTTGGAAGGCTTTTACCCTCTGTCTTTCCTAAATGTAGTCACTGGGCTGACTTTTGGTTTTAAAAACATTTTTACGGCATCAAGTCTTTCCAATGAGCTTCAAATGCTTCATGAGTTGTAGAAGATTGTTCCTGTCAAGTGTTTGTGTGTTTTTTCCAAAATACTCCTAAAAATACTCCTGAAAAGAGTGTTCAAGCTGCATTGCTTTCAAAATAGCACGACAGATAGAACTGCTTCTGGTACCTGAGGGACAACAGTTGCCAACTTGGATGGTTTGTCTGCAATTTGTCAGTGTGGGTAAGACAAAGGAACTTGAGGCTTTTTGGTAATTGAGCCCAGGAGAGACACACCTGCCTCTGTGAGAACTCTTTAGAGTTTCCAATGTGGTAAGGTGTTCCTTAGCTCAGGATTGGGGCGTGCATTCTGACATGTAGTAGCTACCCATTTGGATGTTTCGCCTAATCAGGTTGTGAACGTGCACATGGGCTTATGCCTCTGAGGGGTCTATATCTACTGGTAGGTAGGCTTTTGTAGATCAAGCTATCATTTGCCTATGTTTCCTTCCAACACCTTGATGCTTCAATCCCATCTCCCTTCCTCCAAGCTTTTTCTGTAAGATTGTTGCTAGCTACTGATTTACAAGGTTTTCATGCTAATTTCCATACTTTTGCATGTCTTATTTATGTAATGAAAAATCATAGAATCACATAATGGTTTTGGTTGGAAAGGACCTTAAGATCATGCAGTTCCAACCCCCTGTCATGGGCAGGGATGCCTCACACTAGACCATGTCACCCAAGGCTCTGGCCAACCTGGTCTTGAACACTGACAGAGATGGGGCCAGCTGCAGCTTCTCTGGGCAACCTGTGCCAGTGCCTCACCACCCTCATAGTACAGAACTTCTTTATATCTAATCTGAACTTCCCCTGTTTTAGTTTAAACCCATTTCCCCTTGTCCTATTGCTACAGTCCCTGATGAATGAACAGGCTGCTTGGAATAAGTTTTCCCCTTTTTTATATACATTCTGCTTAGGTCTGCAACAGGAGTAACTGCTGTTTGGTGGCGGTTATAAAAGCTGTTCTTATTTTCTTTTGACTCCTATCCCTTAGTGCTGTTAAAGATGCTGTAGTGACAACCGTTAAAGAAAGTGTCCAGGACTCTGCATCAGCTGTGAAAGTTTAGGCACTTTTAAGTGGCCGCATTTGGAGGATTTGGCAGTCAGCGTGGCTTTTGCCCTTTGTATAAAGCGGGTAATTGTGCTTGATAGGATTTTATCTGTTTACGGCTCATAATGATCATGGTTTTTAAGTACATCTGGCTATCAATTTAGATAAAATTGTTCTGTTTAACACTTTTATCAGAAACATGTTAGCTTTTAAAAACTACTTAGGGTGTCTAGTGTCATGACTCTGTGATCTCCATGCTATATTTTTAGCTGTTGTGTTACTGACATTTCTTAGATGAGGATGAACTGTGATTCTGGGTTTTATGGTGCTGATCATATTTGATGGTAACGTTTTGAGTCTTTCCTGTTAAGATCGTGGGTATTTCTGCCCCTTCTTTAAGTAAAAGTTTCCTTTTACTGCAGTGGTTAAAAGAATAATGAAGCATATCTTAATGAAAGTATCATTTTTCTTGACTTTTCATGTCAGAATGCCTTTTGAATAGAAGAAAATCAAGATATGTCTGTGAAACTTGACACAGTGGAAAATGTGCCGATGCACTCTGTTTCAGTCTTCTAAAGTTGAAACAGCAGTAGGGTTTATCTGATGGCAGGGCAAGTAGGTCTGCAATCTGGGAGGCCCTTGTTTAAATCCTCTGTACAGTAAGTTTTTCATGGCTCGTTGTGGACAGGCCATCTGGTGTCTGACATGGTGTATAATATCAGATCTAAGAGTGTGCTGCCTTTGTCTCTGCTGCTGTATTGGAGCGAGGTCCTAATCTGTCCTTGCTTTTGAAATTCTTGGGGTGGGTTCTGGGTTTGTGTTTTCTAGCTTTGAGCCTGTGGCCGTTCTCTAAAGTACTTTATTGAAATATATAACAAATATATGTTTAAATAGTGGAATATAGAATTATGGAATGGTTTGGGTTGGAAGGCACTTTTAAAGATAATCTAGTCTAAGCCCCTGCCATGTGCAGAACCATCTTTCTCTAGGTCAGGGTGCTCAAAACCCCATCTGACCTGATAAGGCATCCACAATTTCTCTGAGCAGCCTGTACCAGCTCCTCACCACCCTCATAGTAAAAGAATTACTTCTTTATATCCAGTCTAAACCTAGTTTCTTTGAGTGTTAAAACCATTGCCCCTTCTCTTGTCACTACAGGCTGTGGTAAAAAGTCACTCTCAGTCCTCCTTATAAGCCCGTGTTACAATTTGAAAGGCCACTATAAGGTCTCCCCTAAAGTTTCTCTTGTCCATGCTGAACAGCCCCAATTCTCTCAGCCTTTCCTCACAGGAGGGGTATTCCAGCTCTGATTGTTTTCATGGCCTTCCTCCGGACTTGTTCTAACATGTGCATTCCTTTCTTGTACTGGGGACCCCAGCGCTGGATACAGCTTGTACTTGGGACCCTAACGTTGGTGGGGTATACTGGATATTTTTTTTTATTAGACTGTCAAAACAAAGAAAGCAAGAAGAGACTTGATAAAATATGAGGAGAAAAAAGCAGGAGATCTCCTTGGGAGTGCTATATGTCCAGAGAGGCTCTCTTGTACTTTGCTATATGCCAGAGGCTTCCTCACTGTTTCCACTGAGCAACCAACACAAAGCGTTTATTTCACTCCTCATTATTCCTTGCTAAATTGCATGTTAAGAGACATAATCTGTAAGTACTTAAATCTCTAAATAGGAAGTGCAAAATTCACATACTCAATCAGGAGCTACTTAATGTTTTTTGGAGGTATGAGGTTTAAGAGTGTGGCTTAATAGAAGGTGGCTGGGGGCCATACTCTGGAACCAGGCACCCATTTTTTCCACCCCAGGCTATGATAGAATGGATAGAATATTTACATTTTGCATTTTTCTCAAAAAGGAAGCATGAGCTTGTATTTAAGGTGTGTGAACTACAAAGTTTTCAACTTCTGAGTTCACAGGTACCACCCTACTTTCTCTTTCCCATCTGGCAGATGGAGTTAACAGGCCAAATTCACATACTGGTGGTAAAATATATAATGATTTCTTATCTAAATTGAGCCAGACTGTTTCTCCGTAATCCCTGCCACAGTTCTTTAACTTCTGTAGGAACTAGACATGGTCTTCATTATGCCTGGGGGGGACTGTTCTGGAGTTGATAATGTAACAGAGATAAGTAGAAATGAAATGTTCTGTATGCCTAGTTTGGAGAAAAATTGAATGCAGCAGTTTAGGATGAAAATAAGCCTTACGTGAGTTAAAAAAGGCCCAAACCCAAAATAAAAAACCAACTTGTGTGTGTGTGGCTGCATTAAGGGGTTTGTTTTCTATCGTTCATCATCATAACACAATACAATTTTTATCTTGTGAATCCATGGGTTTTATGGTTCTTGATGCCTATCAAGGCATTATTTAGCATTGTACTTAGAACAGCAGGTTCCTTTATGCTTATTCGAGTTCCCTAGACTTGCTGTATGAGAATGCTCAGTGTACTTTGTGGTTATCTTCAACTTCTTATCCAACAATAATAAAATAGCTTGATATGACTTTATTGCATGTAATAGAACCAAGGTAGAAATGTAGAAATGCATAATGGAAGAGTATCATT